AATAAGACCTTTATATAAAATTAGGTCTTAACACTTTTAAAATACTAAATAATAAAAAAAGTAACCTTATAAGGCTTAAATTAGTAATCTTTAGTTACTATTACCTTACCTTTTAATTTAGGCTAAATTTTAATTAATATAAATTCCTTAATAATTAAGAAAATAAGCTAAATAAGCTTATTAAAAGAGTTAAAAATAAAATAAAAAGTCTTTTTAATAAAACCTTTTTAGTAAGCTTAAAAAGCAATAAGCTATAACTACAAAGCTTACTTATTAAGTATATAGTAATATAAAGAAATAGGTAAATCTAGCTTTTAAAATAAGTAAATAGACTTTAATATAAAAGCTTAATCTTTTAGATATAGCTACTAATAGAGTTATATATAGTATAAATAAATATAGTTAAAATTACATTAAGTTCCCTTAAAGAGGGAAGAGAAGAGAGGGCTTATCAGACTAAAGATAACAGATATTCTTATCAGTGGAGTGAACAATGGGAACTGTGATTACGACGAATGCGGATGGAATAGTTTACATGGCTATGCATACATGAACAAGTTGGAAGCAGAGAAGCTTTGGCCAGGACATTTCTGTACTATCTCCATCTCGGTGGCACTAAAGACAGCAGAGACGATGGCTGATCCAACCCCAAGAAAACGAAGCATTTCATGTGGCAAGAGTCGCTTACATCGCGTTCCAGAATATAGATTTCGGCGTCTTTGGATACTGGAAGCGGTTCACAAGAGTATCGGGCTTTGCCTTGAATGCGTTCGAGGAGGTAGCAGGTCTTCCAGCTGCGAAGAACCATCCCATAGTTCTCACAAATAGTTTTTCTAAGTATGGAAATCTCTGGTCTAAATTATATACAAGTATGAAGTAAAAGTCTAAACTCCATGGCTATTAAATGCCTCACAGGCCGTACTGGAGATAACGTAAAAGCTGTCCAAATATCATAGTTCCGCTGGCATTCATCGAGACAGGCCAGCATAGGTGGATGAAGTGATCAAATGACAAGATGCCGTCACAAACGCGAAAATCTAACCCCGCTAGTGTATCTTACAACAAAAGCATCCCAACCAATGCAGTAATCATGATCCACGATGTGAGGTCATATCTGTGAGCTTCTGAAACAACCACTGATGTAGTATAGGGCGCTCCCTTGGACTCTGAAGGAGCTTGGCCCTGGTCAACAGATGATGATTGAGATGGACGTGCTGAATTGCCGAGTGGAGAAGTAGGGATAATGCTTGTTCCCGTTGTCAAGCTCTTCGGGGATGATGGCTGGGAGGGATTCGCCGGCGAATTGCTGTTGGAATCTGCTGAGCCTTGAACTGGAACAGATGGCTGCGGGTTCCCTTGTTCCGGCTGCTTATAACCATTGGTTGCTCCAGCGGAAGTAGGGGCCACGTGCTGGTGTGTCTTGTAGCTGGGATGGGAACCCTGTATTCCTGCGGTTTCAGTAGGGTACTCAGGCTGTCCGTTCTTCGAGCCAGGTTGAGAACCTCCTGTAGGATAACTATTGCCGCCCGCGTCTGTCTGATGCCCTCCAACCCAACCGGAAGGGTATTGAACTATCGGATGTGTATGGCTCGCAGGGCCAGTCTCACAAACAGCCTTTGGTACTGTTAGGGTAACAATATCGCCGCCTTGGGTACAGGCAACAGTTGTCATATCCACTGTTGGGTACACCTGGTTCTTGCATCCGCAAGGGCTGTAGAGCAGGGTGATAGGAACACAGGTTGTGATTAGAGATGCAGGATTGCTTGGGTTGACAGTAGTGTAAGTAACAGTGGTTACAGTCTCGGCAAATCGAGTCTTGGTGTAGGCATGGTCGATGGTCAGAGTCGAGTAAGCAGTATGGATGGCTGTTGGGGTAGGGAGAGATGTTGACAGGCAAGTTGTGGAGTTGGTCTCTGTGACGGTGGAATCAGAGACCGAAAGCGTCTTTGAGCCGGTGTTCTTCGTTGTGAAGGAGGAGAAAGAGTATGAAGCGTCTGTTTGACTGGAGTGTGCAGGACCACTTGATTCAGAAGTCGATTCGTAAGCGCGGGAAGAAGAAGAGGTTGGTACGGAAGACGAAGAGGATGAGACATCCGAAGTGGAGGGAAGCTTTTTGCGATAGAGGGTCAAGAGATGATTAGGCGCTATCTCACGATGCAGAAGTTTCCGTCCGGCGCGAAGAATGCCTCCGCAGAATAGAGTGCGATCTCCAGGGCATGTGAGATCGCAGCGTGCATCCGCTACAAACTCCGTATCATCGAGCACATCAGCTCTATAACAAGTTCTAGAAAATATTAGCTTGGGTACTCATAGATCAAAAGGAGAACTTACTCTTGATAAACACCAATGTACGCGCTTCCCAAAGCCAAGTCGATACACTTTCGGGTAGTCATTCCTGGATCAGTAGCTACCTCTTTGAAGGATGGATAGCCCTCAAGGGATTTCAAACAGCCCGTGAAGGTATATTCACCAATCGTAGGAATGTTAATTGCGGACGGCGTTGACGAGGTCGAAGGTAAAGCGGAAGTATCTGATGTGGACTGTATCTCAGTTGAAACATGGCTGGTGTAGCTTACGCTGGATGCTGTTGCGGCGGTGTCTATCGCGGTAACCGAAGTCGTAGTGGATGGTGTCTGCACAGTTGATGCCTTAGTAGTCGACGTGTCGGCGGGCGACATATCTACGCTGGAAGTATCGGTGTGCAACGAGCCTGTACTAGTTGCGACGGTAGTGAGCTCTAGAGAAGTGGACTCTTCGGCTGATGTCGATACTGATTGGGCAACCGTTGTAGACTCTGAGACCGATTCTGAAGATGGCGATGAGAAATCGGTTGATGTAGATGCTGACAGTTCAGTTGTTGACGAGATAACCTCTATTGAAGTTGTAGCTGAAGCAGATGTAGACTCCAGTGTAGATTGGAGTGCAGAGTCTGATGTTGTCACTGAAGCAATGTCTTGTGAAGACGATAATGATGTAAATTGTGACGATGTCGCTGGCAGTGAAGTAGTTGCTTCGGAGGTTACACTTGACGTAGTGGTAAATGATGACGACTCCGCTGTAGCCTCTATTGAGGTTGTAGCTGATGCAGCTGAAGCAGATGTAGACTCCAGTGTAGTAGATTGGAGTGCAGAGTGTGATGTTGTCCCTGAAGCAATGTCTTCTGAGGACGATAGCGATGTGAATAGTGAAGTAGTCGCTTCAAAGGTTACACTTGACGTAGTGGTAAATGATGACGACTCGGTTGTACCCGCTGTTGTAGTCTCTGACGTGAGTGCTGATGAAGTCTCTTGGGACTCGGATGATATCGACACTGAAGAGCTTGTGTATAATGTCGATATTGTAGACCCTGCGGTGGATTCAACACTTACAGAAGTCTCAGATGATGTAGAGGTTGATGTAGATGAAAGTATCTTGGAAGCAAAGTCCGTACCAGGGGAGGCTTGAGTGCCAGCGAATGATTCAATCAGATCGCATTCACTGTAAGGAGGAGGTTGGAAATTCACAGCGATGCACCTGTTGTCATTGTCACATCGATCTAGGCATCCTTTCATGCTATCTTCTTCATCTCGTCGATAGATAGATTCGCCAGTCGAGGAAGTATCGCAACTGACAGTGAACCCGTTCCCATGAGGCCCGGTATAAGTACTGCCCTCCATTTGACTGCAAGTCGACGGTCCTGGTGCTGCTGCAGTTGATGTGGTGGCCAACGAGGTGGTGGTAGAAAGTTCTGTAGGGGCCTCGGTTGTAGACGAGACAGCTGGTCGAGATGCCACATACGCCATGTCCTGTTCAGAGTCTTGCATGATACCGCTAAAGTCCTCGTACAGGTAACATTCGTAAAAAATGTGGTTGAAGTTGAGTGCGCGGCAAGCCAGGTTATCAGCGCAGAATGCCATGCATTCACTCAAGCTGTGCACCTGGCTGTTATATTCGATCGGAATACTGCCAGTTGCTCGCCAACCGCAGTTGGTATTGAATTCCACACCGTCAACGGAGGTTGGAGAATCGAGTTGGTCGCAAGATAATGGACCCGAGGCGGCAGAGGTTGTAGCTGAGACGGCTTCAGTTGTAGTCGAGATGGCATCGGTTGTCGTCGTGGTTGGCGCAGGTGCCAGCACAAGAGCCATATCAAATAGATTGTTAGGCGTTGGGCCATCCGACTCGTCCATTAAGTAGCAAAGAAGCTGGCTCTTGTCAAAGAGTGCAACTTTGCAACCTGTGGTGATGCCACACCGGCCGATGCATATCTCCAAATCAGTAGCGTCGAAGGAGGGACCGATTTGATTGCCGCCGGTCGAGTATGAATTGCAAACAATCTCGAATTGCGTGTTGGAAGGGCCGTCGTAGGGGTTGCTCAGCTGGTTGCAGGGTACCGGTGCTGACGATCTTGTTGTTAAGGAAGAAGTAGATTCCGATGATATTGCTGAGTCAGTTAATGTGGTGGAAGCTTCTGATGACGATGATATTGCTGAGTCAGTTGATGTTGCGGAAGAAGTAAAGTCCGATGAGCTTGCCGAGTCAGTTATTGTGGTGGAAGCTTCTGATGACGATGATATTGCTGAGTCAGTTGATGTTGCGGAAGGAGTAGAGTCCGATGAGGTTGCTGAGTCAGTTAATGTGGTGGAAGCTTCTGATGACAATGATGTAGTACTAGTAGCAGAAGCAGTCACGTATGTGACGTAAGAAATAGTCCCGCGAACTGTTCCCGAAGCAGCCTGTGTCACGACAGAGGTCGCTTCGTACGTCGTGGTAGACACGACACTCGTGGTGTCATAATCAACCTTGAAGGGCTGATCGCAGTCGTTACAGGGTCGCATCTTGATCATGACAGCAGTATCGCCATAGCCATTGTGAAGATCACATACAGCTATCTTCAACTCTATAGATGGAGTGGAGGGCTTTATCGAAAATCGAAGAGGAGGAGATGTCCAGGCGAACGCTGTATCGCCGTTTGGTGATGGTATGCCCCAAGGGTCGCTGAGGTACTTTGACGACGAGTCGAGTGGAGTTCCAGTCTCGTCCTTTGCGACATTAACGCCATTAACCAGGATCAGAACCTTATCTGCAGAACTTGTTGAGTTAGCCTTTAGGTGTTCATTGCCATAGAAGTAAAGTACTTACACAACATCACAGCTTGCAATAACCATGTCGACGACGAATGTGGTCGCCTTAGTTAGAACAACGTTCAAGAGATAATTTGCTCCATTGTAGGAGTCCGGACCACAATAGCTCTGGGTATATGCATCATACTGGTCCGTAGTATAAGAGCTTGGGCATGTAGAGCCAGGCGTCAAAGGCGCTGCGGTTAAACTTCCAGTGGATATAATAATGCCGCTTCCCATTCCAAAAGGGCCATCAGTGAAGGATCTAATGGCTGCAGGGTCTCCACTATAGCCCGAGGATGAAGAGTAGATATCTCGAGAATTGCCAAAGAGAATCTGGGCCAGCGCCAGTCCGCCTTTTGCTGTGGGAGAAATGTTGATACCTGAACAGAGAGGTATAAGCGATGCCCAAATGGCACAAAGGGTTGTTTGTGGCCTCATGGTGAAGGGGCAGCGATAAATCGTGTAAGCCTTGGAGAAGAAAATCCCAGTAGATGCATCAAAACCTGTCAAAATCGCGGGTTTGACAATTTAGTTAAAAACATTACCCCTTGGGAGAAATTTATGTACGCCACTGCTCTGTTTATATTATTAAACATCCAAATTAAGCGAGAAAATAACCAATCTTGCAGTGATGAGCGAGCCAGCTGAAGTCGGCCGCTAAAGGGCTATGTGGGGCGTTGCGTGATGCGCTGTTAAAGTCGATGTCTTAATATTGGCCAAGTTGCCTCTTTCGGTTTACTGCCTAAGTACTTCTTTTACTAGTTTCAGCAGCTAATGCCTGTTGCAAAGCTTGTTGGCTGGTAGCAAAAGCAATAGTGTCAATTTCAGAGGGGCCAAAAACCAATATACGAGATATCCTAGTCTTAATTAGGCTTAAAGATAAGCTTCCAGCTAGCCACTAGCACAGGCGAGTTCAAAATCTTGATACTGTTTGCAATGAGGATAATTCGATTCTTGATGATGGGAAGCGTTATTTACATTTACGATTATAAGCAGCTGTCACTGAAAAGATAAAGTTGGATGTGTCTGAGTATTTGAGCATCTCTGTGATGATTACAATTGACGCCTTAACGTAAATCAGTCTATGGCACTAAGATGTTCTGGATTCCGCCACCGCGAGCAAAAGTTTGGCGCTATTGATTGCCCCACGGGCACTAACACAAACGGGAAACCCCCTGATACCAACCGCTCCGTTATCTGTAAATCATCTGGCCTCGGTGGTAAGTCTAAAAGACGTTGCGAAAGATGTTACAATGATATAACTTGTTAGCCTCTCTGTTCCTTTGGTTGTTGAGATTCCTCGGAGTAATGCAAAGATCTTCTTTCTGTATAGCGATAACGTAGAAATTTTAAGAGAGTCAAGGCCGATGGTGCTTATCTTAGCGCCGTTTCACTTACCTGAAATCATCAGCCCCTTTATTATTACTCTCCATTCTCAACCTCGCTTGTTAGCGGGCTCAACGCTACGGGCCGAGGCCAAGGTTTGAGGTACAGGGTAAAGCCGCCACGGCGTAGGTGTTTGAAATGTGTAAGCCATGCCTTTCTGTGTTTAATATCTTAATCTGCTGCTGTTTATTAATCTTAGAAGTAAGGAACTCAAAGCAATAAGTACCAATATATAGTACTTAGGTCTATTAGAGATAGTTATTACCGTTTAGAAAAATATCAAGATAAAAAGATCGTTTTTTGTAAATAGTAATGAGTAAGGAGAATCTCGAGGAGTCATGCAGGTTCTGTGGATTACCGTTCTTTTAAGCAAGACTTCTAATGACACAAAGGGTATTTTGCATCCATCGGGATAACTGGCTTCTCGGGCCGATCGCCTTGCTTGACCTCTTCTATTAATTAAAAAAAAAAAAAAGACAGCCGACGAGTGAATTTCGCGAGACTGTCGAATCTCCTCAACCCTTAAACAATATCAAGTTCAAGATGGAATGGATCCACAATGGCCTTTGATGCCATACTACTCTATATCCACGTTTGAGACTGATGATCTCAAGTAAGACAAGCCGGATGAGGAAATCTATTCGAGCCATTGTATGTAACCTCAGTCTTGCAGCCTTGCTGGACCGATGTTGCAATAGAGCTGGGCCAGACATCCAGCGCTGTGGGGACCTGATCATTCCGAGCTCAAATGTCAGGGATTGAACGGCTATAATTGCCGATTGTCTCCTCTTTGCCGCAGATAAATTCGGATCGACCACGGGACTGTCGACGGATCTGGCCAGTGAGATCCGTAAGTCGTGCTATAAAAGAGACTGTCACCGCTGTGTTGCTATTGAGCCTTCTTGAAATGGCTAGTGCTGACTCCAAAGGATCCTGAAGTGAGACAAACGGTCTCTTAATTGAATCATGTCCACTACTAGAACGACGGTGCATGTAATAGTGAGCCGAATAGAAATCATAGGTCATTTTACAATCGTATATTTCCACCCTTTGGCCTCCGTACTGGCCAGGATTTTATTAAATCAGGCGACTCGCCTGGTCGCGGATACGAGCATGGACCCTTGATAATTCACAAACCGAGAAGTTCCCGACTTGAAGATGGCTTAGCATTATTGTAGAAAGAGTAGGTATAGATATATAATGTTCAGGGGCTGTCAGTAGAGAAGAACACGAATAGCCTGAATATGACCTAAAAGCCCGGAGCGTCGGCTACTTAGACACAGCCAAAACATAGACATTTCATAGAATTATTCGATCACAATTGGTCACTTTACTGGTTCTGGCCACAATCACAACTACAAACAGATGGGGCTATTCCTGCAAATGGACATATATACGGAAAATGCTCTCTTCGCTTAATTGGCAGGAGGAACATTCGGTGACTTTGAAAATGGGCCCAGGCCAGGTAAGCCCATACTATTGCGGGCAAATCGCTAAAACGGCCAATGAAACATAGCAGGCGCCTATGGGTTGGATAGGTCTTTTTGTAAAATGTAATCCTTCAGAGGCAAAAGTTCATGAGCCGATGTCTGAGGTGACGGGGATATCGAAAGTGTTGAGCGCAATGTACTCCAGCCAAAAGCCTAGACGTTGGGTATATAAGTCTCTGACTCTCCCACATATCTATCAACAGCCACTCATCCAAACACTCAAACTTCACACCAACCCTTCAACCAACTTCTACAACCTCCAACCATCAAAATGCTCGTCAACACCAGCTTCCTCACTCTCCTCATGGCAGCCTTCGCCGCAGCCTCTCCCATCACAGAGTCCACATCCACCCTCACCAAGCGCAAGTCAGTCAACGACTGCGGCGACTCTACCTTTGAGAACCATTCCTCCGGAGGCTCTCCTCAAGTTTCTGACTGCCAGCAAATCGCCCGCAACATCGCTGGCGGCGGCACCTGGACCGTCGGTGCTGGTGGCGAGCAACACCAGCTGGTCCAGTACGGAACCTGCGCTTTCGGTGCACAGGGCTCTGGGTCCAACATGAACGCTGCTTATATCGGCAATCAGGACATCATTGATCTGATTAACAGCTCTATCGACAAGTTTCAGTGGGAAGGAAAGGTTGGCGCTGCTGGTGTTATGGGATGCCAGAGTCTTACTGGACTGGTCGGAGGGGTTGACATGCGATGGGGTATCTACCATACCTAAGCATTTTTGGCAGTGCTTTGGTGATGCTAAGTCACATAGGGTTTGAGAATTACAGCATTGGGGGCCTGTGGGGGTCTTTCGTGGATACAGGAGGAGCTGTTTTCTTTACAACATACGGCATGTTCTATTCTTAGTCTGGCTCTTGTTCAGCTTGCCAGGCAACTAGTTGAGTTAACTGTATATGAAATAGATTTCTTCTACTATGATACGCGAGGTTTTTCCTTTCCTAGCACTATACTCATTTGCAAGCACTACCTTCCTTCGCTGTAGGTAATACAGAGCCACAGACGTAGCAAGTTCTCTCTATCAAGGTCCCAAACGTGAACATGGGTCATTGCCTTGACGCAGTCCGATAGATATCACTTCTTATCCGTATCCTGGCGACGTCGAATATCCATAATATACAAATGCAATGATCTTGATGTCCATGAATAAATCTTTATGCAATGCAATGAGAGTGACGTCTTGGAGAAATAATTTGGAGAGAAGCGCACCGTAACTAGCTCCAAGAGTTGCTCAGACTTGATCGTAAAATCAGCCCGGCGAAGTTGAGTGATGGGGGTAGTTGTACTGGTAAAGGGAGGCTGTGTGATTATGAGGGGGATGCTGAGCCATTGGATGTTCTTGTAGATAGCGGTAGTGACGATGGTCGGGTGTGGAGAAAGGTTGCTGGACAATGGAAGGCGACGAGTGGCTCTTATTCTGTAGAGGAATGCTTGCTGAGTCATTGTGTATATGAAACGTCTCCATCGGTTCTCTGGGAGTTATTATTGCTCGTCCCGGGTGAACAAGATTGAAAAGAGCAACGGTGGCGAAGATCATCGAAGCGTCAAACACGTAAATATATGTTTCAGTTGACTGAAATGGGCCGTTCGATCCGGTGATGTACTCAACCAAACGGAAAAGAGAACGGATCATGATCAGACCACTGTCAACGTAGAGAACGAGGACAAATTGCTTCCAGGGAGAGGTAGAAGAAAGGCTTTTGCTGGTCGGGTATGCAGTCATTCGACGATGGAAGATATGAAGAATGGTAATGAAGAATGCGAAGAAGTAGATTTGAACTGCAAGGCCAAGGATGATGATGTTCTGCCCCATCTTCTGGTCACCCTTGGACTTGGCTTTGGTTAGCATACCTCCTCCTGTGGTTATCAGAGGTTAGTATCGCGACCAGCGCCAAAGGATATGGTTCAAACTTACCTGCAGATTGTGCCAGAAAGGAAATGACATCACCAATAACAAAGGTATTTGTCAAAAACTCAATCGGGACGAGTGAGTAATCGTCGGCTCCGAGGGATTTGATGAGTTTTCCAAGCGACATATAGATAGAAGCTGCCAACATCGTTGGACCGAGGAGTAGAAGGAGACTTTGGAGGACATAAGGCATAATAGCCCAGTCAGGAGTCTGCTTTGCAGATATTGCACGCCCGGCATAACCGATTGCCTCGACTGTTGTGGATTGATGAGTGCGTGCTCGGGGGCAAGGAGTATTAGCTACTTACAAATACAGCCAATAAGGAATGGAATAAGATAGAAAGTTCGGTACCAGATGAGTTGAAAGAGATGGCAGAGTGTTAAAGCACTAAATAAAGCTAGAAAGATAATTGCGGCGGTAAAAGATGGGTCGTAGTGGTAAAGCTTGAAATCCGACATAGTAGGGGCATTGGCTACAAAACGACTGAGCTTAGTGTAAGGAAAAGGGAGACGAAGAGCGAGTGGAAAACCCTTTTCTTTTCCAGAAAATGATACAAACGAGTGTCTGAAATATGAATCTCGAAGTGACTGTACTAGAGGGTTCCCCAGAGGTATCAAAAGTATTTATCTGAAAGACAATT